GGGACTTTCACCCTCCTGCTCTGGCAAGCCTCCTCGGCGGGGGGGCTGCTGACTCCGGGACCGGCCGGCCTTCCTCTCTGGGAAAGGTGGAAGAGGACTCCGGGGCATGTGCAGAAACCCCAGGCCCTCCCGGTCGTCTGGGCTGGAAAAGAAATCCCAAAACGGTCCAGGGCTTCACCCGCCTGCTCAGCCACTCTGGCTCCGGGTCCAAGCGAGAAAGCGCCCCAAGTGCCAGGGGAAGAGGGGAGCCCAGCCCCCAAAAAAGCCCAGCAGGATTTGGCCGCCCTCCCTGGGCTTTGGCCCCTCTCCAGAGGAAGCCCGGATCAACCCCAGGGCGGTCAGCCTCCAGCCAATTTTATTTATTCATTTATGTTATTGGATTTCTACCCCGCCCATCTAGACCAAAGGACAGCGGGGGGGGTCTTGATCTCCCACCCACCTCCTTTATTTCCTCCCCTCTGGCTGAGCGGGCTGAGCATTAAGGTCCAAAATTTTCGGGGCGGGGGCAGCTTCCCCCACAGTCCGCCTCTAGCAGCAGCAGCAGGAACCAGGCGGATGATGGGAGAGCGCTTCGGACGGCGCAACCTCCTCCCCTCCGAGGCCCCCCAGGGAGCCCTCCAGACCTGCTCCCCCAAACTTTCCCCTTAGCTCGCTCAGGCTGGCCTATTGGGGGGGGGATATTAATGGTCTTGGTCTTGCTTGAGCTGGGGGGAGAGGAGAGTCGCTCCTCCTCCTGGCCAAGGGGCCCGATCCACCCTCCCCTCTCCAGCCACTTACTTCGGCCAGCTTCAGCCTCTTCTCCGGGGAGCCCTGGATGACCAGGGCGATCAGGGCCAGGAAGGAGTAGGGGGGCTTGGCGTGGCGCTGGTGCTTTTTGCCCAAGCCCACCGCCTGGAACGCCTCCTCTCCCCGCTTCCTCCAAGGCGCCAAGGCCATCGAGGGTGCTGACCCTCCCGACTCTGGATGGGGCCCCTCCTGGCCCGGTTGCTCCTTGGCCGCAGGAAGAGGCGCTGGCCTGCCAGGCTCCGACTGTCTGTGCGACAGGCGCTGCTCCTGGAGGAACCTGCAGTCTGGCTGGAAAAGGGAAGGAAGTGCTTGTGGGACCCATTGAGCCCTGTTCTTAAATCGGGGAGTGAGTCCTTCAGATGCAGATGGGAGGGCAGACTTTGGGGCACCAGGTGAGGGTACACGGGGCTCCCAATTAGCCCAGCCACCCTAATCCCCAGCCCAGGCTGCAGGGGCCGAATCAGCAAAGGGAGGCCTGCCAATTCACACCTGGTTCTGCAGCCAGGGAGGCCATGCACGCTCTCCCGGGGGGTCGCCTGGCAGGCTGTGGATTCCGGGGGTCCCTCCATCCCAGGCAGGAAGCGGGCCTCTCCCCCTGCCTCGGGCGGCCCTTTCCCCAGGGTCTTCATAGAGCTGTCCTGCGAAGAGCACCTGCCCCACTTATGGGGTGAAAGAGGGGCGAAATCAGGGGGTCAGGGCGTCCTTCAAGGACAGCCTCTTCCATGCCTGTTCTTGGCCATGTCAGGCAGGAAAAAACGGGAGAAAGGCAGCCGGTCTTTGCTTTTGAGTTCCTTCCCAATTAGGATCGCTCTGGCCGAGTTTTTAAGGGAGGGTAGATGCTCTGGGCATGATTTTCCACAGCGCCCACCCCACCTTGGCCCCTTGTGTTTTTCCACAGCCCACAGGGGGATTTAAATCAGATTTTCTCAGGTAAAGCTTCCCCGGAGGACCTGGTGGTTTTCTTTCTGCCAGCTGCAACACACCTCTCTATGTCGGATAGTGGCGCTGGATTCCTTGAAAGAGCTGTTGAAAGAGGGTACTCCTTGACTGCTCCACAATCTCTAAAAGTTAATCTTTCAACTTGAGGCTGGCTTGAAAATGTGTATTTTAACATTTTATTGTTCTCTGCTTTTCTGATGTTTTAATGGATTGGTATTAGATGTTAAATCTTTTTAGAGAGATGCAAATAAAGCCTGAGTTGTTATGAAGCCATCAAGTATTCATCTTCTTCTCCCATTGATTTATCTTTCCATGATCAGCTGTAAACATTCTGTACTTCTTTGAATTTGACCAAGGAGGCCACTGCTCTGCCTTTGGTGTACTTGACGGCTTCCCCCTCTTGAATCATCTCCAGAGTTCCTTCTTTAGTAGGATACTTAGAGGGACAGGAGCTGGAAGTAGGATGGCTTGCATTTTTATGGTAGGGAAGGACTAAAACTCCTAAATATTTTGAAAGAAATATAATTTTTTATTCAACTGGAATTTGTATTATAATTGGTGGAAAGTAAAAATTCTGCAGTAAAGAAACAGGAAATGAATAAAAAATGGGAAGTCGTGGTTAGGATCTCGTCAGAAGAACTGTTCAAATATATAAGATTGCTTCTATGTTCAGCCTTAGACTTCTTTTCTTTGCGAGTTCCTGCTCCACCAGGTGGATCGTGTTTAGTCAGAATTCTCCACTATGTCCCTCTTGGGGGTCCCTGCGCGGCATAGCCCGCAGCTTCTCTCAGTGACTCAAGCCCCTTCCCTAGGACAAGGCAGCAAGCTGTGAAGGGGAACAACAATCAGCACAGTAAGACAACATCACAAATTGTGTATTTCCCGTCTCCTCTCTCTTTCATTTAGCCCTTAATGGGGATCATTCCCTCCTTCCCTGAGCCTCTTCTCCAGCCTTGCAACAGCCCATTACCTCATCCCTAGAAAGGTAGCATTGCTGATATGCGGAGGGAAGCCTGTCTGCCAACTTTGATTGGATCAATCAGGGCAATCCATAAAGCCATTGACCAGATCATGCGCCTTCCAGGGCCTTTCCAAGCAATCCTTTCCCCTCTGAAGGCCTTGACTCTGCATTTGGATGGCTCAGGAAATCACTTTAATTGAGGCCATTCAGGCAAGGGAATCTCCTGATAGCCTGAATAGGCAAGAGTGCAAGGAAAATGGCAAGATGCAGAGCTGGTTCGGCAGAGACTGACCACTAGCATTGCTTTGCAATGAAAAATGGAAGATATTTGGAAGGTCCTTGAAAGCAGTGGCCCCTTCAGCCTTGGAACAGCAGGGCAGTTAAGGAAGGTGGCAGGCAGGGCTCCCTTCTCCTCCGAGAAAGAAGCCTTCCTTCTGAGAAAAGGTGCTGTTAGCAGTGGGGTGAGCAGAAGGAGCTCTTAAGGACGCTTGAGGAGGAAGAGACCCAGTTGCCCTGAGCCACCCACCCTTCCCCCTGCATGACTGGCTGGCCATGGGTGGGGGAGAGCGGTGGTCAAGCAAGCCACTCCCCCACCTAGGAGCCCCAGGGGGTCCCGTTCTGAAGGCAGAGGAAGAAGAGGGCCACCAACGGCAGGCCCCCCAAGTCGATTCTACCTATGGGGGCAAAATCAAGGGGGACCGTCCACCATGGTGCGTAGGAATTTCCCTTGCCCACGAAAGCCTTTGCGGTCATAGATCTCAGGGCCTTGGACGGGGAGATCTGGCTGAGGGCTCTGGACCCTGACCCCATCCAACTGAGCATCCCCTCTCTGTGACCTCCTGATCCTCCAGGCGGGGCTATCTTGGGCCATTAGCCAGCCATTAGCAGCTTGGTCAGTTGGGCTTTTGGGCTCTCCTGCCCCTGGGAGTTGGGTGTGTGGTTGGGGGGCCACAACAGAGGGAGGAGAGGGAGGAAGGCTCTCCTGCAGGAAGGAGGTCCCCACTCCAAGGGCCAGGGACCTGCCCTTGGGCTTCAGCCAAAGCCCCCCGCAGGGTCTCTCTGCTCAAAAGGGTTGGCTTCACTCTGTTGTTGTTGTTGTTAAGTCATGTCCGACTCTTCCTGACCCCATGGACCAGTCTTCCACTGCTGTCTTCCACTGGTTCCCGGAGTTGGGTCAAATTAATGTTGGTCGCTTCGGTGACCCTGTCCAGCCACCTCGTCCTCTGTCGTCCCCTTCTCCTCTTGCCTTCACACTTTCCGAACATCAGGGAGTCTTCTCTTCTCATGAAGAGGCAGAGCAGTTTGGTCAAAACAAACAAGAAAGTAGAGAATATTTACAGCTGATCAAGCAAAGTTCAATCAATGGGAAATAGGAATACATGTACTTGATTGCTTCCTAATCCACCAGGTTTTATTTGATCTCTTTCTGGGAGGCTGGTTTGGAGAGGCCAGAAGGGCACCATCCAGACCTGCCGCCTTTCCTACAGAGAAGCCAGGAGGAAGAGCCCTGGAAGGGTCGGCTCCTCTCCCCAGCCTCCCTCCCGGCGTCCAAGCCCCATAAAACTGAGGCCAAGTTTCCTAGCCTTCAGCAGGCCTCGGGGAAAGAAAGGGGAAAGAGTCTTGGGAGCCCCCAAAAGACCGAGCGATTCCCTTCGGTGGGAGCTTCGAGGGGCTGCCTGTCCTCTTCTCCAGGGGCATCCATCTTTCAGGGGCCCGAAACCTTCGGAAGCTCCCAGGTTTCTGGCGAGTCCAGAGCCTGATCCTCAAGGAGGAGGTTCACACAACCCCCCACTGCCTGGCTTAATCCTTGGGGCTCCTCAACCGCCAAGATCGAGGGCTGGGCCTCCTCACCGGGGAGGAAATCCCACAGACACCTCCTGTCCCAGAAAACTGAAGGCCTCTGGCTGGTTTGCAAGAAAAATTGGGCAACACCCAGCAGCTCAAAAATGGAGGGTGCTTTTAAAAAACAAACAAGCACCAATAAAGCCACAAAAGGAAGGCTTACAAGAAGTCTAAAAAGGCAGCCTTGGATGGGGCTGCTGGAGGCGGGCTCCTTGGGGGCCCTTGCCTTGCTGCAGACAAGGGCCCGATCCTGCGGAGAGACTCCAGGGTCAAGGAAAGGGGCAGACAGCTTGGGTCGGCCAAACTGCAAGGGGGCAAGTAGGTTGGGAACCCTAAAATCAGAGCTTGGGAGAGCAGGATTTCCGCAGCCAGAAAGGGTCAAAACATCGTGGCTCCTAAGAGTGTCCGAACCCTGTTTGGCCCGGGAGGGCCAGCCAACCCCCTTTTCCTTCGCCCAGGTCAGCAGGAGCCCATGGGCGATGACTCAGAGGTAGGTTTCCAAGAAGCAGAAAGGACCACAGTCAAGGGTGGCAATTCATCAAGTGGTACAGGAAGAGCCTGGTGGCACCTTGAGGACTAGTGGATTGTTTTGCTGATTTGACCCCTCCAGCCTCCACAGGTGATTAGGGTGGCTGGGCTAAGTGGGAGCCCCGCCCGCCCCCAGCTGGTGGCCCAGGTTCTGCCCCCCCCAATCTGCACCTTGAGGACTAGTGGATTGCTTTGCCTCTGAGCCTTTGCACACTGTCTGTCCTCCAGGGTTTTAGAGACATAGCTCTCCTTGGGGCTTAAGGATGCCTGGTCCATAGAGGTGGAGGGCAATCCATGGAGCAGAGCTTCTGCACTGCAGTGGACAGAGCGAGGGGAGTCAGCTTTTCCTGAGAAAATCTGGGTTCAAATCCTCCAGTGGGCCGTGGAAAACACAGGGGGCCAAAGTGGGGTGGGCGCTGACATGGCCAACAACAGGCGTGGAAGAGGCTGTCCTTCAAGGACCCCCTGATTTCTCCCCTCTTCCACCCCAGAATTGGGGTAGGCGCTCTTTGCAGGACAGCTCTATGAAGACCCTCGGGAAAAGGCTGCCCGAGGCAGGGGG